ATACATACATACATGCCTACATTCATAAATATTGTCAGTATATACACACACAGACATATATACACACTCGTTTTCTACAGTATTTTATTTATATATATTTTTATTATTACCCTGGAGTATTTATTGTGTATAATGCATGCTGAAACCCAATCAAGGCTGTAATCAGCTCAGCTCTATACCATTTAGTTTAAATTTCCCACCCACGGCTTCAGAGTGGCAGAAAGAATGTGAACGATGTAAGAAATGAGCTGTGGCTCCTGCAGACACGGCAGGTGCAAATCCACAAGGCTTGACTTTGCACGTTTCAAACACTTCGAGCCAAAACAAATCATTATGGCCAGAGGCTGAACGGTTATTGTTTGTCTGGAGTGTTAGCAAAATATCTCACAAACCACTGCATGGACTTAAATGAATCTCAGTTGTTAATTACTTGACATTAATCTGCAGCTGATTAACTTTTGGTGGCGATTTTAATTCACTAAAAATGGTTACAGTTGAATCACTTCTTGTCACAACACAAACTTCAAGTGATTTGCACAAGATCTCCGCTCAAAACTGAAGCAATAACTGTTAGTGTTGACCGTGTTTGTCTGTTAGCAAAATATCTTCTAACGTCCTGGATGGATTTTAATGAAACTTATAGAAAGCGATGATTGGACGCGCAGCTACGGCTGACTTTAAGATGGCCGTCACAGCTCATCGATATTAGCAAACACAAAAACGATTCGAACTCAGTTTAGAAAACGCTGGGTTAAAATGTGATGTGGTTGTAGAGGAGAGTCAACCCAAACACATACTCTGAGCTTGATAAGTGGTTATAATAAATCTTACTGAGTATTGGTATCACTGTGTAAAGGTGTAAGGAAATGTCGATACTAGGGGTGTAAGAAAATATCGATACACTGAAATATCACGATATTTTATTTCCCGATATTGTATGGATATGCTAAAGCCCTGCATCAATTTTTAATTAAGGTTTAAAATGTCAACCTTCTTGCCAACTGTTCATTTTTATGTTGTAGTTCAGCCTCTGACCACTAGTTGGCAGCAGTGAGCCAGACATTTGGCTCCTCTACCTCTTGAGCGCCAGAGAGTAAGGGTAGCGTTAGCATTGTAAGTAAACATTAGCTTTTCTTCTTTTTTTTCAGTAAGAGGTTTTTATTTAATAGAATTTTGGACAAAAAAAATCGCAATATATCGCAATATATTGCCTTGCTTTCAGTATCACAATATATCGGGATATATCGTATCGTGACCCCTGATATGATATGTATCGTATCGCCAAATTCTTGCCAATACACAGCCCTAGTCGATACACTGAAATATCGTGATGCTGTAAGAAGAAATGTGATGTGTAGATGCAGTTCTCACACTTGTTCAGAGTCCATAAAAATAAAATWAATTTAATCAGATTTTACCATGTAATGCAGGGCGTTCTCTTTATATTCAGTTTTTAAATTTTAAAATTTTTTAGATTAAAAAAAGGCGATATATCGTGATATTATATTCACACCTGACACATTTGGTCTACTTTAAATGGACCAGAGTTCATTTCCCCCGTTGGTCCAGACCTTTTATGCGTGAATACACTCATGGTCCGAACCAAATAACCGGACCGAGACCCAGATTTGAGGTGGTCTCAGTCCGCTTCCAAACAAACACTGGTGTGGTTCACTTCTGGTGTGAATACAGACCGGCCTCGAACCCAACTACAGGAAACATGCACCTTTTTGGACTTCATGAGCCACCGTTTCTAAGCAACATTCGCCCTTCGGTGTTGCTAATGCTAACAACGTGCTACAAAAAAAATGAGCTGTTGTAGGTCAGAGAATGCGGAGCATCTTGTCTCCTTTAGGTTGCGGCACACATTTGACAACGCCGTCCCAAAATTATAAGTAAATCATCACAAAACCACCACTGAATGAGCTGCTCTTGATGTTCTTAAGTCAGTTGTATTAACATTTTTTTTCTGGGTCTGTGCTCTGTCCCGCCCCCATCATCTCTGTCCAATGGGAACAATGATCGTCACCCGGGTGGCTTTCTTTATAAATTCTAGTCCGCTTGCAAAAAGCGCGATATGAATTCAAACTGCACCAAAGGGGGAAAAAAAAAGTCCGCTATTTGGTCCGGACCAAAGGACTTTCTTGGTCTAACAGGCAAAACAGGCTGCAACTGTGATTATCAATTGGTGGTCCGTGGGTCTTTTTGAGGCCTTTTCAGGAACCTTTATGGCCAGTGGAGGTGACATTATAAAACTAAAAAATATATCGTGAATTTTATAGTTTATTATTACAACTACACATCAGGACAAATGAAAATACGATATTCATGTAAATGAGAAAAATACCGTATAGTTTGTACTGAATTTCACAACTAGTACAACTGAACTATTCAGGCATGTTTTGTCTAATTATTATTATGTAGTCTTCAAATTTTTGAAAGGCAATTCTGATGGGTTTGAGAAAAAGATCATACGAAGCAGTCAGATTTTTTTAAGTACACAACAGGCTAGCATGCRCTAACATGCTTTACTTTTTGTGTTAGTAGTATTGATCACGCACAGTATTTGCATATAAATTGATTTACGTATGTTGTGGGTATCAAAAACAAAAATATATTCTGTTATGTTTGGCCATATTTTCAAAGAGCCACTGCAGAGGGACCAAAGAGCCACATGTGGCCCCAGAGCCGCAGATTGCAGACCCCTGGTCTAAACTCTGATGTGCATTCCTTCAATGAAAGCTACGCCTTTAGCTTTTACATGCAAGCACTTTAAACGTTCACTGTCAAACGCCGCAGAGCGACTTCACATTTTATAACCAATATACTGTATGTAT